GAATAGGACTTAGCAAGATAGAAAATTTAGAGAAAGAAAAGAATATGTACAGTCACAATTATAGATATCGACAACCACAATCATCAGTTGTCACGACGACAGTCATAGGATTGTTAGCCACTCAATATAACGAGAAAAAATCAGTAGTTTTTTTCTCCAATTTGTGTAACAATGATGAACCATCCATGTATCTGTAGAGTGTTTGCGTAGCATAACATGAGTATATTTTTTATATAGAAAACAACAAAATAAGACTAGCTGAAAAGGAGTAAAATAATAAGATATAATAATACTATACTAGTAAGTCTGGGAGACTTACACTAGTTTCATTGATGCACATTGGTGCTTTCTCATCACATTATGCTAAGGTGTTTGCATAGTTTTTGCAAATGATTTATGTTGGTAGAGTGAATTCCATTAGCCAATAAGATTTGAGCAGGTTCTCTCTTCTAATCACTTCAGCAATAAACCCTTCATAAAAAAGATCACTTCAGTGATAAGACTTGGTGTTTTCAAGAATGGAGTGGATCAGGGTATATGATATGATACACTTCAGGAACAAAGATTAACAGGGAAAAGTTCAGTTCACGCCTAAGGTTTTAACACCGTAAAGATAATGAGAATTTTGTTGACTTTTATTACTCAAAGTATGTTACAGCACTATAGCAATCCTATGAAAATCTCGGTGGTCAGGTGTAATTCATTGTAAAGGATCTAATCAGTAGCTCTCTAACTGGAAGATTTGAAATATTGCTTGCATTCTTTTGTTTGTTCTGAAAAAAAAAAAAAACTATTGCTTGCTTTCTTATATTGTACACTTGATGATTCCCTTGCTCATCTATATTTGATTTTACTCATCTTATGGTACAAAGGTTATATTGTTTTCTCTTTTGTTAGTTGTAATCAATTCAATAAGAGAAATTGCCTTTCTTAATCTATCAAAAGATTAAGAAAAACTATGAGCTTCAAATATTTAAGAATTTATATTAACATTTTCTCTGGAAAGACTGGCCCTGGACTATACTTTCAGCTTTTGTTACAGACTGAGTATTGTATGAAAATAAGAAATCGAACTATAGCTTATTATGCTGTTATCCATGATAGTTTTCTTGTATGTATTTGTCTCTAGTAGCACATTGCTGGAAGGCATGTACTTCAAAGATTTTATTGGCTAAAGATACAGTTGACTTAATGTTAGAAAATACAGAAAATTTGTAATGGTTAGTGTCTCCAAATACTTGTGTTTCCAGGGATGTAAACTCAGTTCTGCTAAATAGTTAGGAAAATGATATTAATGCAAATGTTTATTTCAAAAAAAATGCAAATGTTTCGTCCTCTCGCAGATTCTGCATCAATTTTTATAACATTAACTGTCATTAGGATGATGCTTCTTGCGGTTTGGTGGCAGGTGCTCCAACTTGACCATTGTGGAAAATGTATATCTGATACCAAGTTACGTGATACCTTAGCATGTTCATCATGTTGCCTCCCTGCATTAGCCACTATCTCTTTGGTGGGTGCATATCGTTTAACAGATGCCGGGCTAACTGCATTGTTTGCATCCGCACCTGCACTGCAGTCTATAAATTTGCGCAGCTGCTCTCTTCTAACTGCTTCTGCAATCAATGCTTTAACAAGCAACTATGAATCTACTTTAAGAGAGCTGTACTTAGATGATTGTCAAAACATAGATGCTGGCCATATTTTACCTGCACTGAAGAAACTCAAAGCTCTGGAAGTGTTGTCAGTGGCTGGAATTGAGACTGTTTGTGATGATTTTGTCATTGGAATGGTCGAAGCATGTGGTGTAAATATGAAAGAGCTTTCCTTTGCCAATTGTCGGTAGGAAACTCCTTTATGCTTTCCTCGCTGATTACTTGTTAATGTGGGAATTTTGTCAATTTTTAACAGATTGCTTTCTTAACAAAGATCTTTTTGATTGGATACAGAGCATTGACGGATAATTCCCTGGAAAATGTGGGGAAATATTGCCACAGATTGTGTGCCCTTGACCTCTCACACTTGCATAACTTAACAGATTCAGCAATAAAGTATATTGCCAATGGTTGCCAATCAATTCATGTGCTTAAACTTTGCCACAATAGTTTCAGGTTTCTATCTATACAGTTCTTTGTCTAATGTTATTTGTGCAGATTTTCACCATGTGCTTATCCTCAGTATTCAATAATTTCACTATTTCATTTCAAAATAGAAATAAATATTCAGTAGGCTATTGGACTGGCTTTGATGGAAGAGCATGTCGCTGAAATATGCATAAGAGGAGCAATTAACAGATTAAACTGTGATTGAAGCCATATTTCCACAAATTATGATGTAGACTTTTGCAGTTGACCAGAACCTAGGGTAACTGCAATTTCAGAATGCAAAGAAGGTTAGTAGCTGGGGCCATGGACCTTCCTGGTCGCCATTGTCCGATCTAATTATGTTAGCATTTGAAACAGTACAATGTAGCTGACCCCAAATAAGTCTAACTAGGTATCATTTTTTAAACATAGTTATTTTTTACTCTCAAGCTTAATTGTTGAAGAATGGGGTAGAGATTTGTTTAAGATAAAAATAAAACATTAGCTGAGTCTCTGCGAAGGTATCCAATTATCCCCAGTTAGCTTAGTGACAAGTGTGTACAAGATTATCACCAAAGTCCTTTCCCAACGACTTAGTAAATTCTTGGATCATACTACTTCCATTAATCAGAGTGCCTTTATGGGAGGTAGAAAATCCTAAATGTCGCACTTGTTGCAAATAAGGTGGTGGAATACACTCAAAGGACAAAAAGGAAAGGAGGTGATTCTCAAGTTAGACTTTGAGAAGGCATATAACAGAGTGAACTAGAGATTTCTTGATGGCATATTGGAATAATAGGGATTTAGGCATAAGTGGAGAGGTGGATTCTTGGGTGTCTTTCTTCAGTGCAGTTATATCAAATGGGAAACCACAAGACTAGTTCACAACCTCAAGAGAGTTAAGATAAGGGGATCCCCTTTCACCTTTTCTATTTACCCAGTTAGTGGATGTGTTAAGTAAGATGTTGAGTAGGGCCATTGAAAGGGATATCATGAAGGGTGTCAAGGTAGGAAAGGATAATGTTGAGGTTTTATATATGCAGTTTGCTGATGAGACGATATCATTTCTGGAGCAAAATGATAGATCTATTTCGAATTCACTCTCTCTTATCCAGGTGTTTAAAAGAATATCAGAATTGAAAATTAATGTGGCTAAGAGTGGCATTAATGGGATCAATATTGAGAATGATGTTGTTGACCACCTTGCTGAATCAATAGGGTAGGTTAAGTTATCTTGGACGATTACAGATTTAGGTGTTCCACTGCGGGATAACCCTAGGAGTCGGACTTTTTGGAAATGGGTGGACAACAGGATAGCTAGGCATCCAGAGAGTTGGAGATGGGATCTATTTTCGCTAGAGGGAAGGGTCACTCTCATCTAGGTCTGTCTTACTAGCATACCACTTTATTTTCCATCCCTTTCAGGATTCATGCTGGGTAGCTGAGAGATTAGAGGATCACATAAAGAGATTTGTGTGGGCAGGGCCGGGAGAGGAGAGCAGAGATCACCAAGTGAAATGGGAGACTTGTTGTCAATCCAAGAGTTCAGGAGGTCTAGGTAGGGAATTTAAGACCAAAGAACCTATCACTATAGGCTAAATGGCTATGGCACTTCCCGCATAAACCAAACTTTTTGTGGCACAGGGTCATAAACAGTAGTTATGGGAGTGAACTGGAAAGTTGGGATGCCTTAGCAGGGAGATCTTACCGAAATCCTTGGAAATCCATCTCTCAAGTCTACTCCATTTTTGCCCACTTACTCGTTTTCATGTGGAAGATGGAACTAGCGTCATGTTTTGGGAGGACACCTGTCTAAGGGATCAACCTTTTGCCAACAAATTTCCTAGATTGTACAATGTTTTTGCCAAACATAATAGTCATGTGTTTTCACCTTACACGTAACAACCCATATGATAGAGTCTTCCAACATGTCCCCTTTATTAACCACTTTGGAAGCCATTTGCATTTCACCACAGCCAGACAATAGATCCTAGACCCTTGAAAAATTGGGAATGTATACATGAAACCACCTTATAAAGAAAGTCAGTTACTTTCATTTCCATGTGGCTAAGGTTTTTTGGAAAGCCTTATTCAAAGGTAAAGGTCTTTTCTTGGACAATCATCCATCAGAGGCTTAACACAAATGAGATGCTTGAACTCCGTCGTCCTCATCATGCCTTGTCCCCAGATGTCTGTGTATTGTGCCTTAGAGATAGTGTGACCCATTCCCACCTTTTCCTACATTGCAATTTAGCCTGGAAGTTGTGGACAAAATTATTTAGATTGTTCAGCTTGGTATGGGTGTTGCCTCCAATAATGGGAACGTTTATTTCCTCGATTATTTACGGAGTAGGATTGAGGCATGAAGCTAAACCCCCATGGCAAGGGGTGATTTTTGCCGGACATTAGAGCATTTGGGTAGCAAGAAACTGGCGAATTTTCTATAAACATATTATTTCTTTGGATGAGATATGGGATAGGACTACGTTTATGGTATCTTTGTTGGCAAAAGCACATCAACATTTTCCCATAGCTATATCACTGCACTTCGCCAGAATCGGGAACCTATTACCCATAACCCGCATGATATTACCATCATGTGATTGCTTCTACATTTTCTTTTTGTGTGTTTACTTTATTTGAGGATGATATCTTACCCTCCACTTTTATATTTGTTTCTCTCTCCATAATAATAATTCTTCTTTTATATATAAAAAAAAAGCTTAGTCTCTCTCCTGCTAACGACCTTCTAGGTTGTGTCATCTGCTGATATCTTCAGTAGCAACCTAGTAGGTTTCTGTCATCTGGCGATGTTTTAACTAGCTCTGGAGGTAGTACATGACTTGTTACGTCTCATTCCTTATTCTTGTATTTTTTTTTTCTGTCCAACTGTTCAAAGGTGTTGAGTTATACATTTTTAGTATTGATCTGATTGTAATTTTCTTTGCATGACAGTGATGAAGCTATTGCTGCCTTGTTAGAAGTCTTGGGAGATTCTCTCAATGAACTTTCACTGAATAAGATCAGTAGGGTGAGCCATGAACATGCTTTTCTGGATTTCAACTTTTTATTGTTTGATTGGAAAGTTTTTTTTTTCTCAATAGGTCATTGTATCCTTGCAGGTAAGCAATATATGCTTAACCTTGTTTCTTTTTTACTTAAAAATAATTTGCATGCTTGTGCACCTCACCTTGTCTTTTACTTGTCTGTTCGAGATTTGGAACTACATTGTTTGATAATCCATGTTAAATCATACTAAGATAGATTGTCAACATCTAAGAGAAAAGGAAAACAATTTGAAATGAGCATTTGATGAAAATGTGCAACTGAATCTAATTTCACAGAGGCCTTTTGGCAACTGCTGTTGAAGGATTGGTGAACGTATTGCGAGATCTGATTCAAATCTCACGTTATATAAAATTTTATTAGAAGAAAATCTATAAAAAGCCTAATCTAAAATTTTTTTAAGTGCTCCCCCATGTGGAGGAACTAAATTTTTCGAAACTGATGAAGTGAGCTGTAGCAGATTGGGGACGCGACTGCTTTGTCACTTGCCAAATGTTCAAGAAATTTATGCAGTTTGGACCTTTCATGGTGCCGCAACTTAACTGAAGTGGCAGTTAGGCTGATTGTTGATAGCTGCTTGTCACTGAGATTGCTCAAACTGTTTGGATGCTCACAGGTACTGAGCCCAATATTTGGCCAGTCTTATTTTAACTTCTATGCTACTGAGTACAATCCCCTGACATGGTGGCTCTTTGAATTGTTGCTATGGCGTTAAAGATATCTCACTAAACTTAAGCAAACTAGCAGTTATACAGCTTGGAACAAGTTAACCACACTGAATCAGTTAAAAGTGTTTGCCTGTCTATTTTTGCAGATTACGAATGTCTTCTGGAATGGGCACTCAAATCCCATTGTGAAGATTGTTGGAATGAAAATGACCCCAATGTTAGAACATATCAATGACCCTGAACCCCAGGAAGCTCCATTGCGCTATTCTCCAACAACAATTTATGCTTAGCTGCATCTTCTAGCTTCTTCTTTACCCATAATGCTATACAAAGAAAGTCTTCCTGGTCTTGATTTGACAGAAGTACTGAAAACAGAAGTGTTTTCATTATAAAGCCATGTCCTCTTTGCAGGTAGTTTTGCTCTCGGATATCCTTTTTGCTAGAACACAGTTAACCAATACATATAGCTTTTCATTTGTGAATTTTAAGATTGAATGTCTAATGCATTCATAAGCTGTATGAAGTAGATAGGATGTTGAATAATTTCAACGATCAAATTATTAAGCTCCTGATACTGTTGGTGATATTCTAGAATTTATACTAGTTTTTTTTCCTTTTTACATGACAGACATGACTGTTAAATCCATTTGTAGTGATCTACTGTAATCTAGATTCTGGGTGCATAAAAATCATGTTTTTTTTTTTTAAATTCAAGTTTTTCAAATTTTTATGTAATATTGAAGTGCAAATCAATTTTTTAAAAGGAAGTTTTAGATGTTGTAGCTCTTGTGAACTCAATATCACATAATTTTGTTGTCAAATTATACGTTTTGTTATTAGATTTATATAGTATTCAGTAATTAAAAATTTTAAAATATCTTTACATGTGAGCTTTATATTCATGCAGTAATTCTTATATTAGCCTTAATGTGTATATAATTAGAAACTGATTTGTTGTATTTAAGTCACTACTTTACCTTCAACTTTTTTTTAAAAGAAGGTTATTTAAGATTGGATTCCAACGGTAAGAATTCATGGCAAATTTATGTTCTAATTTTTATATTAAGATTGATATGGACTTTAATTACTGAAAAGAAAAATGAAGTCAACAGAATGTGTCTTAATCCACAGGGAAACTGTGTCATGTAACCAGTTTCACCAATTTTAAATTTTGAAACAAAATCAAGTAGGGAAAATAATTCAAATGGGAAAGACGAGAAAACAAAAGTGATTTGGGTTAGTTTAATTTTAGAAGAAACATTAAGATCAAGGCCACTGGTACACAACCGAAACCAGGAATTTCAAAGGTTCTACATGGCAGCTTTACACTTCAGGACAAAGGCAAGAACAATCAGAATGACGATGATACCACCGGATGAACCACCAACCCTGTGAATCCAGTAAAGATCAAACCTGGTCAAGCTCCGGTCCAGATAAAGTGACAAGGTGATTACCAAGATTAACCCAAAGAGAAGCAGAGGCAAGCAGAAAGCTGGACTGATGGGTTGGTCATCAAAATCAGGATCATAAGCCGGTCTTCGATTGATATAGAGAGGTGAAACCACAGCTACAAGAATCAAGCCAATGGCTACCAGTCTCTCATACGAAGAAAACCTGCTAGTCCTCCATGTAGCTGAAGGTTCCATTCAGGAAGCAAATTCCTTCCAATAGAAAACTACCCTTTCTTCTTGGTAAGCTTTGCTCTGCTAGAACTTGTAAAAACAAAAGGCAATAAAACAAGATTGTCCCCTCACGTCCTCAGCTCAAAAAACCTATCATCTAATATCAAAACTTGTGATCTATGTTTCCTTTGTTTCCTATGATTTCATATGAAATTATTCAAAACCCAGATTTCCAATAGACATGATGAATCAGAAATATCAATAATTCATACCATTCTGCATTGGCCATGACAAAGCTGATTCATTTCCACTGCAACCATGGCAGATCATTAGGATCCTGCGTTGAATAAACTATGAATAGTAGATGCCAGAAACTTGAAGGATTTATTTTAATTGGAAGGAGGTGGGAGGGGTGAAGTCTGTGCTGTTCTGTGGTTAGATGTCTATACTGATTATTCATTTTTCCAAGGGAATCCTTCCAGAAGTTGGAATATTTATGGTGTGACAAATTTGGGATGAGCAACTTATGCGTGAAGCTTCTGGTAGTGGATTGGATGGATGTGAAAGAAGCAAGGAAAGATGATAAGACTAATTTTCCAACACCCAAAATTTTTTATTTGATTCTTGCTGGCTACATTAATGATTATCCTTTGGAATCAGATGCTCCTAGCAGAAGTTGCTTTCATCATGCCCTCTCCTTGATTAGAACTAATTCTATTTATCAAAGATAAATATAGTAAATTTTCTTTTGTTTTTTATATATACCACCAATGCCTCAAAAACCTAACATTCAATGTCAATGTAACAGATAACCAAAGAGGGAAAAAAAAAAGAATATTATTATACCAGATGAAAAGAACTTTCCACATCCCAACCCAGCACAAGAAACTTTGACAGAAAAAATTACCTACCCAGCAAAGCCCTAATTGGCACCAGTATTTGAGCGCTTGTTGCGGTTGGCGTGCAACCTTCTCAGCCATTTGGCCTGCGAGGAAGTAGGCTCCGAGAGACGTGTAGACCCGGCTGGTGGAAGCTCGCAAGGAAGTGCAGCAGCAGTGCTGGTGAAAGCATTGAGAACCAAGAAAGCTAGTATTGGAGACAGGTCCAGCGTCCCTCCCAGCGGCGGTATGAGCCCACGGAATACGTTCAAGTACGGGTCACACAGAGTGCTGATATAAAGAAAATGAGAAAATAATAAAATCATCATGTATGTTCAAAATACATTACAATCAAAAACTTGCGAAGAATAATGACCTCAAGGGGCTAACAATGGCGGGAGGCGTATTAGGGAACCAGGTCAAAACAAGGCGTACAATGAGCAGCGTGTTGTATATGTTCAAGAAATTGAGTATCCCGTTTGTCACCACTATCCCCGCCACTGAATCTCCAGGTAGTATCGCAGCAAAATTGTGCGTCGACAACGGGAACCTGATTTGGTAGCAGCTCCTGCTACGAATCTAAAGGATACAAGCTCAAACAACCAGTAGTCGTGAACAAAACGAGAAAAGACGAAAGATAAGTGGAGAAGCTACCTGGTTGCAGAAAGTTTGAAAAGAAGAGGAGGAGGAGGAGAGGAGTTTCTTGAAAAGCGAGGTTTGAGAACGGATAAAACAGAGGAACCTATCGGCGGAATGTTGAAGTTCAGAGACGGTTTTTGTAGGCATCGGAATGGATTTGGATAACCTCATAAGTGGTGTTTGTTGAAATGGTGAAGATATAACCACCAGATTTGGCACCGTGGATATGGATTTGGCGGTGGAATCATCCATAGCCATTTCGATGGAAGGGACACGGACAGTGTTTCTGCTTTTCCTACAAACGAAGAAGATAACATCACCTGGAGGATTGAGATACTTTTCTGCCAAACACATATCTTCCACGTGGCTTATTCTCATATGTTTGTTTCACTCCAAAATCATGCCCTCAAAACGCCGCGTTTTCTCTAAGTTTTTATTTTTTGTATATGAAAAATTAATACAACAAGAAGTACCTTTGTAGCAAAACATATTTTTGCTTAAATCTTTTCCTAATCGTTTTCTCAAATATATTTCATGTGAAACTTGTGTGTTTGAAATCAACAAATCTCATATATGTATTAAACCCATTTCAAATTTTTAATTTATTTAGCGACAGCTCATCATAAAATTCATATATCACACATTAAAATTATTGCTAAAACAAAAATTAAAAAAAATATATATGAGCACTTGCTAAGGGGTAAAAAGGTAAAAAGCAAGTACAAGTGAGCCTGCAAGAAAAATGTAGCAAATGTGAGGGGTGATATAGTTATGCTTGCTTTTAAGGGAAGCAGAGGCAATGCAACTCAGACTAAAGAAAGTTGAGGTGAGAGATGATGCACTCAGTGAAAATTTGAAGTAAGTCATGATGTTAAAATTGAAACTAGAAGGAAATGGAGGTTAAGAGTTTTAATAAGATGGTAATGTTTGAAATGTGTAATGTAAAGGAAGTTGGAAGCAATCCAAATATAAGAAATAATCCGAGGAGTGAATTGGGTTTCTAAATTTTTTAAACTTTTTACTATTAAATAAATTCTAAATGAAAATTTCAAATGATTAATGCATATTTTTAAGTGGTATGAGCTCACACAATATTATTCAAGTTCATATAAGTCTTTTTCAATTGAATATGATTATCTAAGTAGCTCTCAAGTACTTAATGCGTACTCAACCATATAAATGTTTCAAATACTATAAAAGCAAAGGAGTTGCATATAAAGAGAGCAAACAAACTTGCTCCTATATCTTCTCGTCATGTCACCAACTTAAGTATTTCACTATCAGTAAAGGAATTGTCCATATATAAAATTATAATTATTGATACTGATATTTTTCAATTAAAAATAAAATCTTTTGCTACAATAGAAGCAGAAGTAATGTGGATTATTCAAGAAGAAACTTATCGAAGGTTTTTGTAACACTCTGCTCATCACTGTGCTAAAATGATTTAGAAATCCTATTTATTTGAGTTTTTGGTCACGTTAAATTTAATTAATTTACGGTACTTAATATTTATAGTAATTTATAATTTTAATTAATTTTTATTTAATTTTTATTTTAATTTATTTAATTTAATTTTAAGTCCAATTTATTTAAATTAAATATAATAATTAAAAAAATCGAAAAATGGCAAATCAGGGAAAAATCACGTGGGATTTCGAAAAAACGGCGAATCGGAAAGAAAATTCCGCGGAAAAAAATCCCACGGGGAGTCAAGTTGCCTGCGCAGGTGCTGGGCACTGTGCACACGTGCATGCGCGTACAGTAGTTGCGAGAGGTGCGCACAGCGCGCACGTCGAGTCCGCCCGCACACACGCACGGGACGTGCGCGCAACGCGCACGTCCCCGCCGCATGCACAGTGCAAGGTCAGGACCTGCGCACGCTGTCCGCACAGCACGCCTGCACGGATAGGCCCTGTGCACCGCAGGCCTACGCGTGCGATAGGAGGCCTGTGCGCTTGCAACGTGACAGTCGGAGCACTGCCACCTTGGGCAGTGCACCGCCGCAGTCGATGGAGGAGGTCCTCCTCCCTTGTTTTTCGTATCGAGCATCTTTTTTCATCTCTCTTCACTAGATTTCACCACTTGGTATGAATTCGACAGTTCTAAAATTCTATAAACTATCTTTCCCCTTCCCTTCTTCTCAACATTTTCATTCTTCTATTTTTCAAAGATTTAGAAAAAAAGAAAGAGAGAGAGAGAGAGATATATATATATATATATATAACAGTCTAGTGATTTAAAAAGAGAAAGAAATGAGAATGGTGAATGAGAAAATATCAAGATTTCGGTAAAGAATTTAGTATGTCTTTCGACGTCTTAAGAAATATTTTTAGATAAACTAAATTAATATGATTGTTATTTTTCCTGTTTTGTATGCTTCTGTGTTCAGGTAAGTCGAATTGTTCTTGTTTTCAATCATACTATGTGAATTGATGACACTTGATGAATTTGCATGTAATAAATATAATATGTAATCGGTAATAATAAAAAGTATAAAAGAAAATAAAAAGAGAAAAGTGAAATGAAACTTATATGGTTCGAAGTGTATTTGTATTGACATGCATATTGCATAAAGTATCTCATAAGACTTTTTATCTCTGAGGAATATATGTTCCCCTTAGCCTTCGGGGTATGTGTTTCTCTCTCCCCTATTTGTTCTGTAAAAACGTAAGAGAACTGCTCTTAGTGAATGACAGCGTACCTTTTGACGAGAGTAGTATCACACTATCTGTAGGGGTCATCCATGGCTAAGTAGTGACTATCTATATCTGTTAGAGCCATTATTGCTAGTACGGTCGTGGTCATAGATCGTACTATGGTTTGGTCAATCAAAAATGAGCCTAAACAAATTTTCGTATCTATATATGATCTGGTCATTCCACTTTCGTAGTTAAAAATCTATATCTGCCATCAGATATGGAAATTGTAACAACTTCGCGAAGCATAACACGAAAATCTGAGTATTTCATGATTTATTTGATTTTTTCTATTATCTGACATGATGTATGTTTGATTTTCTGTATTAACGTATCATTTTTTTAAGAAATAAATGGTTCTCCATAATGTGAGATAGGTAAACGAGGAAGTTAAATAGTAATGTAAAATAATTAACTTTTGAAATCTTACGATATTAATTTAATATTATTTTCTTTACTGAGCATATGAAATTCACTTTTTCCATGCCCCCTCCCCAAATGAGGAAGAAAGTAAGGAACCACATTCTAACTTATCATTGGAAGTCTATGAGGATCCCGTGGATCCACAAGTCTGGGTGCATGACTGTTCCCGCACTCTGATGAGTCCAATAGTATAGTGAAAGAAGTGGCTCTTATGTTTTATTTTGTATTTTGCAGCCACTTCTGACCTCAGTATATGCATGTATTAGAACTCATATGTATTTGTAAGGTGTAATACCCGGGCTCGAAGAACAACCTGAGACAAAGTTTTTATTTTTTAATTATTAATTTAAAATAATTGATTATTTTATTTTATTTTTATCTAAGTAGAATTTTGAGAAAAAAATGAATTAGGAACGAGATTAGAAATAATTTTGGAAAAAAGTGGTGAAATTTTAGGTTCTGTGGATGTTTTTTAAAGAAAAAATAGAAACAGGAGGTCAAAATACAAATAAAAAAGTTCGACAACGTATGACTATCTAGTCAGCAATCTCGACGAACTGGAGCGCGATGCATGGCAAGGCACGCTGACATCAATGCCACACGAAAGGCCATGCTGGCGATCTGCGTACCCCGTGATTGGACAGCCCAGGATCGATCCCACACACGTAGACGATCCAGATTCATTTCTCTCTTAGGCGCGATCGGACAGTCGAGATCAATCGCGATAAACGACCCATATTCGTTTCCTCCGTAGGTGTGATCGAAAGGACGATATCGATCGCGATGGACGGCCCAGATCAACGCAAGATGGTTATAAATACTTTGCATCACACGAAAACTTGAACCCTAGTTGTCAGTCCTCACTGGACAAAAAGAACCAAACGTTTGAGAAGGAGGCCGACCGCTGCTGCACCGGAGCTACCGCCGACTGCCAAAAAAGGCTCTCTACCTGCTCGAAATTTGATTTCGAGTACCCTTGTGGCCAAATCAGAGCAAGAGGGACAGTGAGTGAGCCAAAAACTACGGGTAAATCCCGGCAGAACTGTTGCGACTAAATCCCAAAATTCCTCTGATAAGCCCCTTCCCAATTTCTATTTCATGTGATTTTTCGATCATTGTATTCACCGTCTTTTTCTGTGCAGAGTAGTTGAAAAAAGAACCTCAGCGCGAAGGAAGATCGACGGAGCTGCCACACTCGAATGTCCCCCCGCCAATAGATTTGATTTTTTTATGATTTCTCGGCCAACTGAGGCCCCTAACGTGTTTTTCTACAGGAATACGGTCAAAATCAGCAAAAAATCAGTCAGACCGAGGCGAACTACCACCGTGGGCAGTGGAGCCGATGCCGGAGCATGGCGGCGGCGCCGTGCCAGAACACCAAATTTGGTCGAAATGAGTTTTGGAGACCGATTTTGAATTTTTTGAGATATTTTTAGGTATGTGACGAATGTTTTGAATTCTACAAAAAAAATTCAGGAAACTCAGTACCCGTTAGGAGATGTAGCAAATAGCTCGATGTCTCGAAATATCGATTCGGGTAAGAATCTCTCACACTATTCTTCATTACGGTAAATTGAGGCTTAACGATGTATAATTTTATATTTTGTAAAAAATTAGAAAATCCTAAAAATAATTACAGGTTACTAGTAGAGTCGGAACCGATTAGTTCACAATTGTCTTGATTTTCTGTATTGTCTTACTTACTTGATTTTTGTATAGTACATATTCTTAATTTATAGTTCAATAGTCTTATCAACTTATCTGGTTATTTTGGTTATATACTGTCAGTATAAATGTAGTTTAATTGATCTGCGAATGTAATATAAGATATTGGCATGAGTTGTTAATTGTTTGTTGATGAAAATCTGTATATGAAAGACTTGTTAGTTACCTAGAGAAATGGTGGACAAGCCCAATACATAAAAAATCCTACCATGAATGTTACCGTAGTCGGACGAAGCTGGGAAGTCCCTTATTAAAAAGGTTTGGGAGATATGGTTCACCCTCATACCGTACTGGGTATCGAGACGATAGAATAGTTGAGGCCCATTACCGAACGGGGTATGGAGTTCACGAGTAGGGGGGACACCTCCTATAAACCCCCAGGGGTATTAGTAAACAAGTAAGAAATGAAAGCTATTATTTCTCGTTCTCTTATTCGTGAAAGTGAAAAGTGATATGGATATAAGTTTTCATAGGTTGTCTTTGAAAAATTCGTTATGGTAAGTATTAAAC